TCAGGAAAGTTGCCTATCCTTTGTTGCCTTTCTGATTTTTCCAGTCCTCGGAATCAAAGTCCGGCCTTGCCCATGTTAAAAGAGTACTCTGCTGCTGTACTACATCCTCAGGCATGCCCCAGTTCTTAAAAAATCCTACTTGGGAAAATTCTCAGTAAATAAACAGTAAACAAAGTATAGCAAATGCTGTAAATCCATCGCCCTGCTTCAATAAACCAACGTTCTGCATTCTTGTTTTATCTAACCTCCACTCTTGTAAATTTCTCTTTTTTAGTACGAGGAATCAAACTCAGGGCCTTGTGCTTGCCAGGCAGGTGCTGTGCCACTGAGCTATATCCCCAGCTCTCCTGCAAATTTTTTATAACCAAATTATTAAGTAATCTTTTCACAATGAGTTAGTCATTTTTTTCAATTATTAAATTATCGTGTTAGATCCTATCATATCCTTTTTTGAAATGTGGTCTCATCATGCTGCCCAGGCTGACCTTGGACTTGTCTCAGCTTCCCAAATAGCTGGAATTGTGGACATACTCCATCACACCTGGCTCACATCATACACCTTTTATTTTTTTCTTTTGGTCTTTTAAAAATAGGGTTTCACTGTGCAGTTTAAGCTGGGTTTGAACTCACTTTATAGCCCAGGCTGACCTCAAACTCACTGTGATCCTCCTGCCTCAGCCTTCTGAGTGCTAGGATTACAGGCATGTACCACTATGCCCAGCCCAACATATACATTTTTGTAAAACTCTTGACATAGTGTTTATATTTCTTTTACAACGCTATAACAAAATCCCTAAATTTGGGTAATTTATAAAGAACAGGTTATCATCTCAAGTTCTGATAGTTCAAGAGCATGACACCAGGATTTTCTTGGCTTTTGTGAGAGTAACTGGTTACATGACAACATGGGAGAAATAGAAAGAGTACCTACCCCACGTAGGTGGGGCCAACCACATAGGATAGCCTCACTAGGTAACAGCTCCTCCTAGAAAAGAATTTGGTCCTATTAGGAAGGTCAGCTCTTCTGAGAGCCATGCTCCCATGACTTCGGGCCACTTCACTGCTGTTTTGTTTTGTTTTTTGCAGTACTGGGGAGCAACCCAGGACCTCACACATGCTAGGCAAGTCTCTTACCATTGAGCTACATCCCCCGGGCCACATCCCCTACTTCTTCAAGGTTCTGCTGCCTTAACTCTGCCCTACTAGGAATTAAGCTTCCGACACACGCATGTTTTGGGGCATCACACTCAAATCATAACCAAACCTTAGCAGTAGGTGACAGTACTTAAAATTTTAACAAATAGCAACAGCTGCCATTTATAGCATGTTTCAGCCAACACAAGTTTAGCTGCTACTTGTTGAGATGGACCATAGCTAAGGAAATCTTAATACCTATAGAGGTTTTAAGACAAGAAAATTATTTAATAGATCACACTAAGCAAGTAACACAGGGTTTTAAATTATTAATGACTTTTTTGGTCTTTTTGATATAGGTCTTGCTATGCATTCAGTCTGTCTTTGAGCTTATTTTGTAACCCAGGCTGGTTTTCAATTTGCAAAGATCCTCCTGCCTCAACCTCCTGAGTGCTAGGATTATAGGCTTATGCCACCATACCCAGCTATAAATGATTCTTATTACTAGGGGTTTCTAAGTATCCTCTACAGGTAAGGTTATTAGATTTAGTAAATAAAAACACAGGACACTCAGTTAAAGTTGAGTTTCAAATAGACAAAAATAGCTTTTGGGTAACTATGTCCCAAATATTACTTGGAACATAGTTACGCTAAAAAAGTTGCCCATCATTTGTCTGAAATTCAAATTTAAGTAGGCATCCTCTGTTTTACCTGGCAAAGTAGCTCCTTTAAAAGGGAGAAATTTGGCTTAGCAAAATAAATAGGGAATACAATTGTGATTAAATTTGGTATTTCATCTGCATAATAAATTTGGTAGGTCAACATTCCCAATGCAGCCAATATTTTCCTCTTCCAGTTAGTGTTCAAGTACACAGCCTCCATGTTGTTGGGGTAGAACATAAACTGTTCACCAAATTGAAACCTGTTGGATCTGGGTACTGTACTGGGTACCACATAATTATTTCACATTGTGCTTACAATTAGTATACACACAGAAAGTAAAGCAGAGTTTTATATTTACTCCAACAAACTCTATACTTTCCCTATTCCCTGAACTAAAATGTCTATAATTAACTTTACCAGTATTTTAGTTCATCTGCAATTTGTAGATGAAGTTTTTTTATTTTTTTAGAGACAGGGTCTTGCTTAGTAGCCCAGGTTGGCCTTGAACTTGTGGTGATCCTCCTGTCTCAGCCTACTGAGGCATGTGCCTGGCTGTAGTTAATTTTTGAGATAAAAGTTAAATTTCCATTTAGCTCTGTTTCAACCTTGCCTATAATCTAAAGAAATGCAGTCTGGGGTTTAGCTCAGCAACATAAGCACCTGCCTTATAAGCACATGGTTGTGAGTTTGATGCCTGGTACCAAAAAAAGAAAGAAAGAAATGCAGTCTAGTCTACTTGCATGGTGTTTTGAAATTTCTAACATATATTTCATGCCAAACTCTACAAAATATTTCTGCAGATCTTGTAGTGTTATTAGCTCAAAAAGTAACTGGATTTTGATTATCATTCCTAAGTAATAATTATAATTTCCTTAAATGCAAAAAATATTACTCCAAATATTTTTTTTCTTGCAAAGGGCTTTATTTTGGGGAGGGGGCACCAAAGAGATGAGACATCTGGAGGGAGAGGGTTAAGCTGAAGCCCCGATGCCAGGTGATGCAGTAGCCCTTTAGAGGCTGCCAGGCCTCCTAGTCATGCTTAAGGGTGAGCCTTTCAAAGAGGTACTCGCTCATCCCCACCTGGGGGCCTGCCAGCCTGCAGGTGAGGTGGTCACCTATCTTCTTGATGAGCTTCTCCTCATTTAGAAAGTAGTTCTCCAGGGAAGCACAGACATGGGGGTCTGTCTTGGGCAGAGCCCAAGGCATGAAGATCCAGAAGAACTTGGTTCAGGCTTTTCTCCAGGGTCAGGGCCCCTTCCATAGCATCCAGGGTTTTACCCCACTCATCTTCAGAAGGCTTCTGCACATCTTGGAAGTGTAGTCACTCCACTGGTTTTGCATCTTCAGGAGACCTTTGGTACTCCGTGTAGGTTTTCCTTGTCCAGCTCACAGAAGTGGCCCACACCTACCAGAGTGACATCGTCACGGTCGAAGTACTAGCCCAGACAGAGGTAGGTGTAAGAGGCCCACAGGTGCAGGTTCACCAAACAGTGCACGGCAGCCTCCACCTCGATGGAATAATTTTGACGAATCTGAGAGGTCATGACCAATAGCAATAAGGAGCTACCCACAAAAGAAAGGTATTGGCTGATCCTGAGAGGAGGAGATGGTTGAGAAGATGGTCCCGAAATTTGTACCTAGAAGGTGGATGGAAGATAAAAGAGGGAGTCCAGGGTCTTTTCCGTCCCCCCCCCCCCTTTTTTTGGTCTTTTTGAGACAGGGTCTCACTATGCATATGCAATTCAGGCTGACCTTGAACTCACTTTGTAGCCCAGGCAATAATCCTCCCACCTCAGCCTACCAAGTGCTGGGATAACAGACATGCACCACCACGCCCGCTTCATCCAAACACTACAGAAGCAAAAGACAGATCTGCGGGACCTCTGGACACGCCACTCCAAATAATTTATTCATTCATAATTTTTACTTAATAGAGGCAGTGCTTCATTTTTTTCTCCAAAAAAAAAAAAAAAAAAAGAAAGAAAGAAAAAATAAAAGACCAAACAACTGCACCTCTGCCCCAACACTTTTTAAGTTTTTTTATTCTGTTGCTACAGTTCGAGAGCATTGTACTCTTCGGCTCCACCTCCCGTAGGAAAACGCTGCTTGCTCCGCCTGAGTGCAGCGTCCACTACAGTGAAAAAGAAGCTGGTAACGTTATTTAGGCATTGCCACTAAACGAAGCACTGGTTTCCTGTAGGTTACGAATTGGAGTTTCCGAGCAAAGAAAGGAGGGAGGGTCTTTTGACTGACAGATTCTTGGGCAAAGATGTATATGGATTTTGTTGGTAAATGGTAATCTGGAGAAAAATTATACTCCATTTCATTAATGCCGGCGTATTTATAGTTTTTAATTTAAAATTTTTTATTGATAGATATGTGCAGCACATAATGATTATTTTCATGGTGGTCCGCTGGTACACCTACAAATCACATCTGAATTCTTTTTACCTCGTCCTTTCCCTTCCTTTCCCCGTGTTTCCATCTCTTGGTAATTTGTCCTTCCCATGAGCAAAAAACCCAGCTGCCTGTTTCCTATTATTTATCTTCCACTTTGCTCTTTATTAACACTGGCACGTTCAGCAAGGAATTCCTGCTCCACACGGAGCGAGAGCGCGGGCGGTCTCGGAGCAGCCGAAAAGCTACAGCGCTCATTCCCGCACGAGGTCCCCGCGGGGGGTCCCTTCGTGACGTCACAGAGCCCCGGGAACGAGGCCTGGAGATGGCTGGAAGGCGAGGTCTCCCCTCTGAGAGACCGACGCGGGATCTTTCTGCGCAGCCTTGGTTTTCCGCGCCGCAGGCAGCATCTTCCCGGAGCCTGGTCCTTGGATGTGCCACATGAGAAACCAGACGACGGGGACACCGACCTCTCTCTTCCCTTTGGGACCTGCCTACATTAAGCCTTTCTGAGAGCCCCGCGCAGCGAGTTGCCGCTCCAGCTTCCTCCAGTCAGCGCCGCGGGCGCCAGAGCTCTTCAGAGCGGACCCCGCCGGCTGGGGCCCGGGGGTGGAGCGTGCTCGGGTACGCGGGCTGCGCCCTGCCGCGGGCGGGGGGCAGCGAGGCGGCGGCGGCGGGAGAGCGGCGCGGGGATTGGCTGCGGCGGCGGAGACGTCAGACTCCCGCGGCCCGAGCGGCCGCCGGCTCGGCGCGGCGCAGTCGGCTCGAGTGCTCCCGGTGAGGAGGAGGTGTTCTTGGCCGTGCTGCCTTCCACCGCTGTAGCCGAGCTGCGCCGCTACCGCCGGGACGCTCCTCCGCGCACCTTGTCGTCCACACGCCCACCATGACGAAGAGTGAGAAGAAGTCTTTGAACGAGAGCCTGGCCCAGTGGAAGCTCTTCTTGTACAATCCGACCACCCGAGAGTTCCTGGGGCGCACCGCCAAGAGCTGGGGTGAGCGGGCGGGCGGCGGGCAGCGGGCGGGCTCCTCGCGTTCTCCTCTGGCGCGGGCAGAGGCCGAGCGCGGGCCCATTCATTGCTCGCGGCTCCTCTGAAGCGCGGCGTCCACCGCTAGCCCTGGCCGGGCCGCGCCGCTCTACCTCCGCCCCGGCCGGTGCACGTGCGCCCAGGCCGGAAGCCGGGTCCGCGTCGCGCCGGGCTGGGCCGAGCCGAGCCGGGCCCCGGGCGGCCTCCTTTGTACGGAGCGCGCCTGCCGCGGAGGCCTAGCAGAGGCGCCCGCGGAGAGGAAATTTCCACTCCCGCTGCTGTCTTGTGACTCGTCCACGCCGCCTCCCTGGAGAGCGCGAGCGATTGTCGGGAGGGTGTGTAGGTTGCATGGGCGCGTGTCGGGGAGTGAAACAGAAGCACATTGTGTACGAAAGTGCACTCGGACTCGGTGTAAGGCCCCCAACCAGGTGGTTCCTTCTCCTCTTTTAGCTGCAGCGGGTCTTCCTTACGAATTTGCTGCGTTGGGGGAAAAGTAAATCCTGTCTGAGCAGTACCCCCACACCTTCAACACAAGGGAATGATGGTTCAGTGTGTTAGCAGCTTGTTTCTGCATGGACGCTTTTGTTTTAAAAGAAATATTTAACGTAGCTACTATTATTGTAATGTTTAAGTTATCTTTTTTTCCCTGAAAAATTATAATATGAGGCTGGACAGCAAGTGTTTTTGTTTCGTTTTTACTTTTACACTTTTTTTATCCTCTGGAAAAATTTTTTTAGTGAATCTTGACCTTTTTTTTTTTTTTTTTTTTTTTTTTTAACTGGGTGGTAATAGGTGTCCCGAGTCGAGAATGATTGGTTCACGACATTTTTAAAAGAAGCGTATAGAAAATAAGTGAAGTATGACTGAGTAAATAAACTTGCTGCTGAGTGAAATGGGCTCCTCCAGGCTGCAAAGGCTGCTTGAACTCCCATCACAAGCTGAAAGGGACCGTGGAGGTTTTTTACCCCAACCTCCAGTTAAGACATGAGGAAAATGAGACTCTGAGAGGCTGTGATTTTGCTTGTGTAAAATTACATATTCCACATAACCAAGAAAAAACCCCAGTTCTCCTTTAATCCTAGTCCAGCAGTTGTATTATTTTACAGATGACTTGCCTAACTGCATGGTAATCACTTATGATTTTTATTTAAATTGCTATCTTCTTTTGGGAACACACTAGTGTGATGAAGGAATAGATCTGACATCCAGAGTTGGATGAAAAAAAATGGTGAGCATTTCTAAGACTGTGTTTTGAGACAAAGTCTTGCTATGTATGTAGCTCAGGCTGGTCTTGAACTCAGTATATAGCCCAGGCTGATCTTGGGCCACACTCCTGCCTCAGTCTTCCAGAGTGCTGAAACTACAAGCAGGCACTGCCAGGTCTGACTCGTAAAATGTCATTACTTGTTTCTAGAGAGTAATATTGAAGAAATTTTTGAGTGGCGGAGAGAGAATAATTTTTATAATTACCTACATCCTTTCTCCCTTTCTCAGTGCCATCATATTTCTAGCACTAAGTAGCTTCATTTTATTAGAATGACTTTTTACTACAGATAGTGACCTTTTTTAACCCTTACATGATCTTGGAGTAGAGATTTCGTTGGGGATCTGCATTTAAATAGATAACATGTTTAAACTGTCAAAGTAGAGGGGTGGTAGTAGTACATACAAGTTAAGTTGGGATTAGTTTTAGAAGGATTAAGGCAAGATCTTTCTTCAAAATCAGTATTATTCCTTTCAACAAATAGTAAATCTCTGTTTATTTTTACTAGTGGTAAGCCAGCATGGAAGGTATAAATGGGTAAAAATTAACTATACTCTTGTCCCAATGCACAGGTGTCTCTCTCTAAGGATATACAGGTGAGTGGTGAAAGGCAGCAGAAGTCCATTATCCCTAGAGCATGGCTGGACTTGCCTAGAGAGGGGATCAAGTGCTAATTCTTACAAAGGCAAGATGAGTTTGGAGAACTGTGCCTATGGGGCTATCTGCCAGGAGAGGTGCCCGTTAATTCCCATACAGGCCCTGTGTGGGCTAGCTGCCTGCTTTCACCACTGTGCTTCTGGTATATGGCTTTCCTAAGATGGTGTGACATTAATTTGTTTGAACCAAAAGAGCTCATATACGTTATACTCTTTGAGTATACTGCAAGTCTTCTGTTAATATAGATCTTTTTTGTTTTTGTTTTTTTGTCTTTTTCAGTTTTATCGATATCAGGGATCGAACTCACGACTGCCTGCTTGCAAGGCAGGCGCTTATGCCGCTGAGCCAAATCCAACTGCCTGCTTGCAAGGCAGGCGCTTATGCCTCTGAGCCAAATTCCCAGCCCCTGTTAATATAGATCTACATCAGCATTTTTATTGATCTTTTAAAAACTGATGAGTATCTCATTCTACTGTTAAATGTGCTGTGATTTTTTTTTTTTCTTTCATTATATGTACTCTATTTTCTTGCCTCTGGTGTGTACATTTTTGAACATTTATTTCCTTGAGATATGTGCTGATAGAATTTCCAGGTCATTCTTGTTTGTTTTTGTTGTTTATTTTTTATTTATTTATTTTGTACTGGGGATTGAACTCAAAACCTTGCACTTGCCAGCTAAATCCCCAGCCCTGATTTTGGATTTTTGAGACAGGGTCTCACTATTTAGTTCAGGCTAGCCTGGAACTCACTATGTAGCCTAGGCTGGCTTTAAACTGACAGCAATCTTCCTGCCTCAGTTTCCTGAGAGATGGGATAACAGATGTGTGCCACCATGCCCAGCTTGTTATATACTTTTTATATTTTGAAATATTTGTCATAATGTCTTCCTGGAAGTGTCTGTCAAATTATATCCCACCATCAGGTGTATTCAGTTGTTAGGTCTTACACCTTCATCAACCTGAAACTATTCTTGTCTGTCTGTCTGTCTGTCTGTCTCTCTCTCTCTAGCCTTGAACTCATGTGGTAACCTAGGCTGGCCTTGAGCTCAAGGTGTTCTTCCTGCCTCAGTCTCCCAAGTGCTAGGATTATAGACATACACTACCATGCTTGGTTTAGTCTTACCTGTTTTGACGCTTTTAAAAATTTAGATTTGGGGTCAGGGTGGAGCCCTTTATCATTTGTGCAGATTTTTTCTAGTTGTCTTTTGGCTCTTAAAATCATAAATTTAGGGGCAAGGGTTCTACCTCAGTGGCATGGTGCCTGTCTGGCAAGCATAAGGTCATGAGTTTGATCCCTGGTACCAAAAGAAAGTGATAAATTTAATATAGGTGGTAGGAAGAAAAAAAATCTCCTATTTTTTTTTTTTTTTAACTTTATAAAGTTGCTGGGCCTGCTGGTGTATGGAGAAAGGTCTTCTAATCCTAGGATTTTATAAACACATTCATTTCACATTTATTCGTGATGTTTCCTGTTTTTTTTTTTTACATTGATCTGTATATACTTAAATGCATAGTTATCCTATTTTGAACTGAGTCATTTGTCCTGAGTGCATTAAATATATTAAAAAGCACACTTAAAAAGAGTGTATTTGGAGGAGAAATTAACAACAGTACATCTTTTACTGTAATATGTTTTATTTAAACATTAAAATTTTTAAAATGATTTTGCTGTAAACATTTGGATGAAAGTATTCCATGGTCACATCATTTTATTGAAAACAGCCATATAAAGCTTTTGAGCAGCACCCCTTATATATTTGGCTAATATCTTACGCTTGGTTATGTTAGTTTCAGAGTTGCCTCATTTGATTTCCACAAGGCCTCCTGAAGCAAGTGCATGATCAGAGAGCATGGTTAGAGCTATTTCTCAAACTGAGCAGTAAGTACACATTAGGAATAAATAATAAACCATTATGACAACTCAGGACAAAAAAAAATAAGCAGCTGGTGGCTGATACTACATTAAACATAGTTAGAGTCAAAATAGTGACTATTTTTGGTCAGAGGATCATTGAGTGTGACTTAGGACAGATAGCCTTGTGTTGTCATTGTCATTTTAAACAACGAAATGTAATAGTAAAAAAATAAGATTTTCTACCCATTGTTTATTCTAAGGAAAAGGGTTGCTTCCTGAAATATCTGTATATTTTGTATATGTAGGTATACAAAATGTTAGGTATATTGCTTCCCATGACTCGCAGTTAGAAAGACTGGAATACCATTAATTTAGCCCAGAGCCCTCATGAGCCACACCATAAGAAATGCACTTACATCAATTATCTGTATACTCAGCATAGGTAAACAGGTTGAAAATATAGATCTTCTGATCTGATTTGCCAGAATTCACTGAGTTACTGATAGAATCTTTGGGCTGTCAGATTCCAGGCTTTTTTCCTACCTAGAAATAAGGTCTCACTAGGTATTCCAGGCTGGCCTTGAGTTTTCTGTGTTGTAGGATAGGCTGACCTCTATCTCAGTGATCTTCTTGCTTCAGTGCTAGGATCAGAGGCATGTGCCATCATGCCTGGCTTTTTTTTTTTTTTTTTTTTTTAAACTGTGTCATAATGTAATATTTTAAAGATACCTGCTCATTGAGTTTTTTAGAATTCATTATATTATGATTGTCTGTTGACATTAACTTAGGGATTTCCAAGCATAGTGAGGATTCTGGGCCAAAACTGTTAGCACCTATATTTTGTTCATGTGCCTTTTCTTTTATTATAGGTCCATGAAGTGCCATATTCTCAGTCAGCTGCTCCTATGCTGGGTCATGCCTCAGTAAACGTTCTGCTCTGGAGATCTGACTCCATCCCATCTTGAGTGTCTTAACTATAGGGGAGAAGGCAAGTGTATTTATTTCCCCAGTATCACATAGAGTATTTTTTAGTTTGTTTTGGTTTTTGGTGTTTTTTACAATACTGGAAATTGAACTCAGGGCTTCACACATGCTAGGCAAGTGCTCTGCCACTGAACTACATCCCTGTCCCTGTATTTGTGAGACAGGTTCTGGCTGAGTTGCCCAAGCCAGCCTTAAACTTGTGATCCTCCTGCCTCAGCCTCCTGAACAGCTGGAATTACAGGCATGTGACACCACGCCTGGCTGTTACAGAGTATTGTAAGATGGTAGTCTTAGTCCTGTGACACTGATGAAACTTCACAAGAATGTGCACCTTTGGGAAACTAACAGAACTTGCCTTACTTTGTGTGTAGGTTGTACAGTAAATGCAGGCCAGTGGTGGGTATAGCAACACAGACCAGGGCAAGTACTGAGCCATCACCCAGCAGGAGCAAGACAGCACTTCCTGGATTGTCTAGGAAGTAGTTCTGAGGTACAAGGTAGGGTAGGGGTAAGTCTGTGTGTTATGTGACAGGTGCCATTGAAATTATGGTAGTATGTGCTTTAGTGTAGTGTTAAAGAGCAAACCGAACTTCACTTAGAGTACTTGGATGTTTTGGTTAGTCTTTTGTGGTACTGGAAATTAAACTCAGGGCCTTCTCATTGAGCTATATCAAAATTTTTTAAAATTTTGAGATAGGGTCTCCAACTTACCTGTGCTGGGCTCAAACTTGCCATACCTCCTGCTCAGCCATACCTCCTGCCTCAGCCTCGCACAGTGCTGGAATTACAGATGTACTTGATTTTTTTAAATTGACTTTTGAATTTATGGCAGTAGAATTAAACTAGTACTAAAAGGAGTTTTTAAAAAGCCTTCAAATATAGTAGTAACTTTTCCATGATTTATCATGTTCAATCAGGGACCATTTAACACTGATCATATAAATAAAAAAGCATTTAATTGTGAGAAATTTATTATTTTCTAACTATGTATTCCCTATGTTGATTTTTGAAGTAAAATTACCTATAAGCTAAAATCATGTAATACAAGCATTGTTAACATTTTTTAGTCTTTAGGTAAATAAAATTTTAAGGCATGTAAAAGGTTTTTAGCTATATAGCTGATTTTATCACTTAATGTTTGAGGAGGGTGGTTTTTAATCCTCTGCCTTTTTCTTAGAGGCCAATGTGTTGGGCATGTCCTTGGCTGTCTTCATCACCTTCGGGATGACTTCCCATACTTCCTGCTTGAAGTTACTATTCCAGCAGCTTGTGTTACTGTGCTGGGACTCCCCAAATCTACAATATGACTTTTTGTTATTGTTATTAGCTACCTATCAAAAATTTTCAGTTGGATGTTTCTTAGGTGTGCTTCTTGTTCTCATTGCCCTCAAGGCTCTGTAGCAGGACATGCAAATCACTGGGCATGGTGGTGCATGCCTGTAATCCCAGCACTTGGGAGGCTAGGGCAGAGGATTGCTGCAAGTTCGAGGCCAGCCTGGGCTACAAAGTGAGCTCAAGGCCAGCTCGAACTGCATAGTGAGACTTTATCTCAAAAAGACCAAAAAAAAAAAAAAAAAGGCATACAGACTCTTTCTAATCTCATTGGTTTGCCAGGGGTGATACACATACCTGTAATTCCAGAATTTGGGGAATAAAGCAGTTGCATCACCAGGAGTTTGAGGCCAGCCTCAGCTACATAGAGTTCAAGGCCAGCCTGAACTACGTAGTGAGATCCTGTTTAAAAAAAAAAAGTCATTGGCTTATTTCTCTCCTATCATCTCTCTCATTCCATGTAATTTTTTTTTTCCTTACCCCTTTTGGGCTTCTCTTGTGACTATTCCATCTTGGGCTAGCCAGTTAGATGTTACCTTTAATAGCCTAATCTGTGGGAAACATCTTTGAATTCCTCTTTACCATATGGCTGGGTGAAATGTTCCTGTGTATCCCGTAACACGTTTTCCTCTTGGGGCTTTGTGTGTTATATAAAGTGCCAGTTTAATAGAGACTAAGCTGCTTCTGGTGTGTTTTTTCCTGTGTTGGGCATTGAACCCTACCGCTGAACTATGCCCCCAGGCCTGCTAATAACCTTGTTATATGTTTTACTCATCTTTGATTTTGTAACACCTACCCTTTCCTGGCACTTGGTGGGAATGTAAAAAAATTGGTTGAACGACTTAAGTGTGAAATGTTCTCTACATACTCTCTGTAATACTGCTTTTTTTTTTTTTTTTTTTTTTTGAGACTGCAGTTCAGGCTGGCCTTAAGGTCACTTGTAACCTAGACAGTTCTTGAACTCGCAGTAATCCTCCTGCCTCAGTCTCCTGAGTGCTAGGATTATAGGCGTGCTCTACAATGCCCAACCTTGCAATATTGCTTTTAATATCCTCAGGGTTTGATGGTGTTAGTGTATGATACAGTCATTTTACCAGTGTTTGGACATTTTCCACTTTTTTTTTTGCTCCATACTAATAGGTTTTCATAGAAGTTCAGTGTTAAACAAAACAGCTGAGGGCTTGTCTAGCATGTATGGGGCCTTGGGTTCAGTCACCAGCGCAGAAGTTGGGGTGGTGAAGAGGATATTAGAGATTATTCCGCTTAACTCATAGAGAGACTCAGGTGAATTTGTGTCGTGTGTGGACCATGCATCTGTTTTAAGACTAACAGAACCAGCATTATTATCCAAGTTTGCTTCCTGCTTTTTTGCTCTTTTCAGCATCTTTTTTGAAAACTATAGTCTTTTTGCCCCTTTCGCCCCCCTTAAGTTATCTGCTGTCAGATTCAGTGAGGGTTTATTTGTGAATGTCTTTCTCTGCACTACAGGTTAATGTAACTAATAATTCTGAAAAGATTCCTTAATAGATTCTCACACATGCCTGTTGAAACTTTTTTTCCTGAGTCATAGGTAGAGCTAGCTGTCATTTGTGACTTCATCTTTGCTGATGATATGGAGGGTACAACTTTGGAACTGACCTTCCTGTAAGACATGGACTACATTTTTTGTGATTTTTTTTTTTTTTTTTTTTAGCCAATTTTCAATATCTAGCCCATAAAAGAAACCCAGCAATTTTGCCCCAACTCTCTACTTGTCTACCCATTCCTTTCCTAGTCTCTTCCTTCTCTTACTTGTTTGTGTATATTTCTCACACGTTATCTTTGACCTTATTTTGTCCATCTTTCCTGGCAATCTCATAAAACAATTACAAAGATCATTCACAGCTTTCACTTTTTGGCTGACAGCTCAGGTTCCAAGCATAGCCCACAACCTTTAAAAAACAAGACTTGTAAGGCTTCACTAATTCTGTAACTCCAGTACCATATATATCACGAGATAAACAGAGCTTCATGGAAGTTCTACATTGCTCCTGTATTCCAGTTTTTAAGTTTTGGATTCTGGACCCGGCCATACTGTGCTAATTCTGTCTCCATAACATCTCTTCAGAGGATGGCCTATTTACCGTCCTCCCCCTCCCTGTCTTGTGAAAGCATACAAAGAACACCAGAATGCTTGTTTTCTCTAGCTTTATCTAGCCACTGTTTTAAATGTCATATTCCCTCACTCACATTAACCCTGTGCCCGTTTTGCAGCATCTGGTAGTGCCTTTCTTTATAAATGCTTTGATTAAAAAACTTAAAACACCAAATGAAGATCTTTTATAGTTTTTGATTTTTGTAAATTTTTAAAAAGTTGTTTCAAATACAGACTGGGGATTTTAGCTTAGCAGGATATGGGCTGGGGATTTAGCTCAGCGGCATAAGCACCTGCCTTGCAAGCAGGCGGTCGTGAGTTCAATCCCTGGTACCAATAAAAATGAAAAAGACAAAAAAAAAAAAAAGCTTAGCAGTATAAGCACCTGCCTGGCAAGTGTGAGGTTGTAAGTTCAAACCCTGATACCAAAAAAAAGGTTCCAAATTCAAACAGGTAATTTGGCTTTCTAGCTTTCATCTAGTATTTACAGAGAAAATGCATACCATATTAATAGAAAGTGTGCTCTCAACTCCTCCTGTAGCCCCGGAAAGATCTAGACATTTATTTAATAGCTTGGAATCATTGTAGCCTAGCCTAATATAACCTTACTGCTCTCATTATTTCTAAGGCTGCAGCTACTCACCAAACTTCAAATCATGTTTGAATCCCCATTGCTCTCAGAAAGTCTGTTAAATAAGTTCACTTTAATAAGCTCTCTTAAAAAGTTCACATACATTGGCATTCCAGTATCACCTCAATCTTTATATCCTTTATGATTTACCTGTATGCAAGCTCACATACATGCATTTCTGCTAATTGTACATTCTTGGTAGGATTTATATGTATGTCTTATGCCTAAAACTCTCAAGAATCCTCCTGCCTCAGCCTGTCAGTGCTGATATTACAGGTATGTGCTACCATGCCTGGCATAGTATTGGGGGAGAGGGGTGTGAACAAATTGTCTACTAATTAATTTCATCTTGTGATTGATCTAGTCACTACTTAAGTTGTGAATATTGTGAATTGCTGGCTTAGCTCCACACTGAAAGTTTTATTTATGGAGATTATTATACAGGAAGGCGTAATTCCATTATTCAGATCATCGTGACTCAGTTCCATTAAATTTGCTTCATTTTGAAGTTTACACATACAACATTGTAGGAAAAGTGTGCATACATATTTTTACCTGAAACATCATAGAAATCGACTAATAATATACTAAGATGAAGAGCAGTCTGGGACTTCAGAATATAGGCTCACATTCTAGCTCCACATCTACATCTAAGCATAGATAACTCAGAGTCTCTCAACCTTGATTTCCTCCATAAGAGAGGAAAGTTGTATGTAATTTCAGGTCTCACTTTGGAATTAAAAACACAGCTTGTATAAATGCTTTAAAATAGAAGCCAGTAAACTTTAAAGGCTCAGGTAAGTATTTTACATTTTACTGGCCACATGTGCTATCCAAACCCTGCTATCCAAAGTGTCAATAGACAATATTGGCTGCCTTGCAGTATTTGGTTTACAAAATGAACACC